CGTAATATTATTGACATTGTAGTCGTACCTGTAAAATCTACCCGTTTCCTTTTTCGCCCCTTCCAAATCTGGCGCCTTTGTTAAAGTCAGAAGTGTTGGCAACACACCCAACACACACACGCACACACACACACGTACTCCGTTTACGGCATGTCGCGCTCGCTAAGCAAACCAGCACACATAGGTAAGCGGACTGACAGACAGACCGACACACACATACACACACTGGACGAAACTCTTAACGGAAACCGGTACCCCGAAGGCTAGGACTAACCAGTCTATACATACACGGAGCCTACGTTTCGAACTGCCTGATAGATCAGAAATCGATACTGAACTGAACTGCGGTCGGTATAGATCGAATTGTATTCATTGGTTTGAAGCCACGAGTTGCCTTTCGATCGCCTTTTTTTTTTTTGGTAAGCGTTTTACGCCGCTCGCAACTGCATAAGGTCATATGAGCGCGCAGGACACATAAAACTTTTTCCGTTGGTAGGAAATTTTGAATTTTACCCGGGTGGCGGCCGAAGTCTACTCTGATCGATTTTAGACCACCAAGGGGTTTTTAACGTGCGCAACGTGCACACGGACCTTCCGAGATTATTCGCCCTTGTCCGAGAAGGCTATGTGTAGATCTTTCCTACCAGAAGATCAGGGGTGTGACTGAAAGACAACAGTAAGAAGAGCCAAGGAGACGCAGTAGAAAGGCTGCAGAAAGAGTCAGGAGCCCAGAGGAGGGGGCAAAGGAGGTGAGAGGGTGGGGGCCAAAAGAGGAGACAAAAGCAGACAACAGAACACTGCTAGAGAGCAGGAAAGGAGGTGGAAGGAGACAATTTTAGAGAAAAAAATTTTTCGGTCACTACCCGGATTCGGACCCGTGACCTTTGAATGAGGGGCCAACACATTAACCTCAAGGCCACGCTAGATCAGGAACCTCTTAGACTTTAACTAAGAGCAGGAGTAAAAAACAACACATGATAATAAATTAAATAAAAATAGTTCTAAAATGTCTATATTCACAATAAGGGAGGACGTGGCCTGGGACAGACAAGCGTGGCGTCGACTGCTCTCCGCCTTTTATGCCTGACGGTACAAGGAGAGAGTAAGAAAAAAGTATATTGCGTTTTAGTTTTAGTAAGAGTTTTACGGCACTTGCAACACAATAAGGTCATATAAGGGTCTATTGACTATATTTCTGCATGTTGTTTTGGTTTTATTTGTCCATTGCGATAGCGAGTGTGTTAGCGTACACCCCCCCCCCCCCCTCTCCCATCCTTCCTCTCTCTACAACCCCCCCCCCCCCATACACACAAATAAACAAAAAACAAAAACAAAAGATTAATAACAGTCGAAACTGTGAAAGACAGTCATCCATTGTCGAGGGGGAAATGTGGCCGTCTTAGACAGGTGGCCGTCCTACCACACTGTTATCACAATGTATTAAACACGCAAAGTAAAAGAGGAAATGGGCTTAAGTGATCATGATCATTTATTGTACCAGTGGTTGTTTTATTCAGGTAGCCGTGAGAGCAGCAGATTCGATTGTCTGTCCTTCACTAGCTTTATTTTTGTTTGTTTGTATTTTATTTGTTTGTTTGTTTGTATTCTGCTTGCTTGTCTTTTCATGTATTTTCTGTGGGTGGTCCTGTGTGTGCTCTGGTTTGTTTATAACTCCTTCTTTCCTATCAAACATCTCACGTCCTGATCTCTCCGGCTTCTTTTTTGAAATATTTGTTACTCTCTTGTAGCACCTCTAATAATTTTGGCACTTTTAGTTATGACCTTATAGCGTTGTAAGTGCCGTAAAACTCGTATTAAAACTAAAACATCTCACGTCCGTATTTCACCCCCTTCTTTTCTTTGGACGTTACTCTGCACTAGATGTAGTGCCCCTAATCTTCGGTACTTATATGACCTATGTGTGTTGCAGTTAAGTGCTGTAAACCTCTTTCTAAACTAAAACTATAAGAAAATGACTTAAGTGTTTGATTAATGTTTTTTTTATTTCTTTTTCTAGACATCAATTTGTTTGGGTTTTTTTTACTTTAGAAGCGGCTGAGACGGGGAGCTGCAGCGTGAATGTTTATTCCCAAGAGACATAATTTTTAAAAATGACAATATATTATGTTATGTCAAATGATTGGTTTTCAACGGCGCGTTTTCTTCCATTCATTAAACAAATTAAGCTGGTGGTTGGCGAGTGCTCTGGTGTGGTTTGCTTCTTCTTTCCTATGAAACATAATCTATCGTCCTTATCTATCTCCCCTTCTTCTTTTTTAAAGTTTGTTACTCTCTTGTAACACCTTACTCTAATCTTCTGATGCTCATATGACCTTATGCAGTTGCGAGCGCCGTAAAACCTCTACTAAAACTATTTTTAAAAGACATAAATTAAAGTATATTTGTCGCATGACGTCCCGGAAACCCACACGGACGTCGTGGCCCCGCTGAGAGTGGAGGCCCAGCATAGATGAGTGAAGTAGTAGGTCACGTAAGTCCCGAGTGGGGGGCTAAAGTTTACTTTTACCTGTCTTTTCTTGATACGTGTACAATTATACTGCGTTCATTTTTTACACTTTGACTCAAGGACAGAATTATCCTCTTTGAAACTCTCGCATTTATTTCGAGTGCAGTAGTACAATTAAATGCACATTAAAAACAAAGAAACGAAAAAGTAGCACACAAAAAAGCAACATTTCATTTTTTTTCTTTTCATTTTGATCAGGCATGAGAAAACGGATATTTACAGAAAATTGTCACCGTATATACTTTTTATTGATTTCAATCGTTCTTTTAAATGAAATAATAAGTGAATTCGTTTGGCACTGTACAGGTTAACACCCTAGCTATCCCCCCCCCCCCCCCCGACTGAAGGAGCAAGGGGATCCAGAGGGGAGAGGGGAAACACAGCCATCTGTGCGGACCAGTCCGACGGATCTCCAACCAGATCATGATGGAAACTATAAGTAGACACACTCTGGGGTGGATCCTGAAGAGGGGGGAGGGGGAGAGCAGAGATGGACATGTTCCGACTGCAGTGACCCCAACACAGTGGACAAGTAAGGACAAGTAAGAACAAGTAAGGGATCACCCGGGTAGTGATGATAGGTACTATTTCATTCCGCACTTTGAAACACGTTAAAGGTGGTCGGTAGGAACGTTTTAGCCTCTTATAGGTTAGCTAAGTGGGGGGGGGGGATTTTTTGTTATACAAAAAGGTTTAAAATAAGCGACTAGATTACCACTGACCTAAATTGTGTCGACACAGGTATAAAACTCCTACACGTACATATTATGACCTAAATTGTGTCGGTAGTGGTGTAAAACACCTTCACCTGCAATTAAAAGAAAATCATTCCCCCTTTAAAGGCACCCATATAATCCTTTCCAATGAGGGACAGGCTGAAAGCAGCCAGCTTCCTTAATTATCTAAGTGGTGTCAGCGACCGCAGCGTAAAAGATTCATGACCCGTTAGAGTTGACGTGTTAAGTATCGTAAACCTTAAATTTCTACACCGTCAATCTTTGCTGACTTAGTTATTAATTCAACATCAGCAGTTTGATGCCCGTGTTCAAACAATGCTGAGCTAGGCGAGTGGAATAACCTGCCCTTTGCCGTACAAAACAATCGACTGTGAAGGTATGAGGGAAACCTCC